AAAAGAAGCTAAAAATCTTAGTAAAAAAAAAGGAAGAGAGAAGAATAATATGATGGAAGAGACTAAAGAAGTGAAAAGCAAGAGGGAAATCTGGAAGTACATGAATAGAAGAAAGGCGAAAAGAGAAGAGATAAGTCCAAGCATTAGTTTGGAGACATAGAAAGAATACTTTATGAACTAGTTAAATACAAATGCAGATAAAATAGAAGGTGAGAATAGGAGGAAATTAATAATCAGTGAAGAGCATTAAGCAGATCTTGCAGATAAGGAGATAGGAAGTCAAATGAGATCGCTGAAAAAAGGGATAATTAACTGAAATGCCAGGAGAAACTTTAACTAGAAGAAACATTCAAAGATCTGGTACAGTTGGATTAGAAAGAGAAGAGAATGCCAAAACTGTAAAAAAAATTGCAATTGTCTCTTTACAAAAAGAAAGTGACAAGGAAATAGTAAAGAATACTACTTTTTGACGTTCAAAATTATAGCTCTGCACTACTTTTTATTTTCAAAGGCATTTATAATTATTTCTATTATTCTATGAATTTGTTCTATTGTAGCATGTTTATCTTTGAATACGAATTGTTGATCTGGAATTAGTTTTTTCATTTTCATTAACTTTCTTTAATCTGCTGAATCTTATTTTTTCTAGGATTTTGGATACAATTGGAAGCAGAAAAATTGATCTATACGAAGAGAGTTCGTATATACTTCTGTATAGTTTATATATCATGGTACTCTGAGCTAATTTTCATATACTTGGAAAGTATTGTAACCTAAATATGACGTTGAATATTATTCTAATCATTCTCAATGGTTTGTCTGGCAGTTCCTTGGTTATTTTTCCAGTTATTACATCGTGCCCTAGGTATTTGTTTGTCCCCATTTTTTAACGATTTGTTTAATTTCTTTTATTGTAGTACGACATATCCTATAATTATAATCTGTGTTTTGTACCGTTGATCTTTTAAATCGTTTCGTCACTTTCCAAAGAGAGTAGTTCGTATCAACGTTAAGTGTTAGAGATGTGAGGTATTTGTTGAATTCTTTATTCCGATGATCGGTTAAGATCTTTTTTAACTCTTTGGTAGCTCTGTTTAGTTGTTTCTTTTCGTCATTGCGTTTTTAACTTTCTTTTATTTTTCATATTTTAACAAAAAAAAACAAAAACTGAGGAAATGATAAAGTGGTGCAACAATAGAGGAAGAAATTTAGGAAATAAATCGCTGGAAAAACTGCACGTGACAGAAAGGATAATAGATATAAAAAATATCATAAAGGAACAAAAGAACTTTTTTTAAAATTGATATCCTCAGAAACTGCGGCTGATAAGAAAAAACGGATTCTATATTTGAATTCAGTATAAGAAATATTATTAAAGTCTTCTATTAAATCATGTTAATCAGTGTTATTATTCGAAGAATTATAAGGAGACAAGTCTATCCGGAAAAATGATTTTTCGGATAAATTGATTTAATAGGACCAAAGTTAAGAACACATCATAAATCAATCAGAAACTAAACAGTTTTCAGATTTGCCCTTCTTCATGCTTTCAATAATATTTAATTTACTTTCCAATTTCACTACTACTATTTTTCTTTTAGCAGTTATATTATAAATGAAATCTAATCGAACATATTACATTTAAACAGGACACTAAAATGGACACTTGCATTTTTAGTATTAGTCTAAAATTCATATTAGTGAATTCTTACAAATATGTTCGATTAGATATTGTATAGCAATTTACAAGAAATACATGAAAAAATTGATAATTTTTAATATATCTTTTTTCTAAATTGACGTTTTGGAAAAATACTTGAACAGTTCATTTTGATATTAAAAGATACCCATCTTTTATTAAACAAATTTGTTTCGAAAACGCTGTTTCTAAAATTTAGTAAATATATTTTTTATCCCCAACTTTAAAAGCTATTTTCAGCCTTAAATATTAACCCTTTCGTCGCTCAATATGTATTTTTACCCCAAATCAAAGAGAAAGCTAAGAACAGCTGCTTTCAAGTGAAACTGAAGTTTTTTAGTGGAAGAAATAGAATAAGTACTAATAATAATAATAATTAGTACTTAAGCTGTCATTTATAAGCAACGATTACCGTGTAACACAATTTTCCTTTATCTTTAAGGTATTTTTTAGCTTACCGGTAATTTAAAATGTTCGTGTTACTTGTATATACCAGCCGGGACGGACGGGTTAATCATTGCGGATCAAAAAAACATGTTTCAAATATTTTTCTATGAACTGTCAAATTTTGTAAGATGGAAAAGCAAAAATTCTCAAAAAAGTCTAAGAAAAGTGACGGTATAGTGTTTGGAGGAATAAACAGGAATCTGAGGAGTAGGAATTTATTGATGAGAAACGAGTTTCTATTATAAAGAGAATACGATGTAAACAAAGCGATCAGTATTTCTTATTAATTGATTTAAATATTCAGTAACCTACCTCATTGCTAATTAACATTAAAACTACCGAGCAATTAGAGTGACTTATTTCCAATTTTTTATGAAAAATAGAACAATACATTTCTTGAGATTCAAAGGATCTCCTAGTTTTATAACTGTACAAATACACAAATTTAATTAAAAATCTCTGGCAAAAACGTCTTCATAATTTAAATACTTGCTAAATAAAAATCTTGATGTGGGTCAATTTGACTTGTCCGGTAGTTTTAGTATTAAGCAGCCGATGTACGTTTTTCATAATCAAAGAGATCTTAGGTTCCTCAGGAAGTGTTAGTATGAGATGTTAACGTCGCAGCACATCAAGACCTTGAGCACTTTATTTTGGGTGAGGGATCAATGATTCTGAAACTATGGATCTTGCGGGACCTTACGAAGGACCCTGCAGCAGCGATACACACTCAATTTTGATATATGCTAAATAATTAATGCATTTCCGAATTAATGGCGATGTCTGCTTCAGCTGAGTAGGATTAACAAGCGATAACTGCGTTTTATGAATTGTTCGAAAAAGGTGAAAAATAGTTTTTGTCAGATGGCAGAATTAACCGAAAATCCAATTAAAAAAGTGAAATTGTAAGATTCTGAAATTAAGAAAATATTATTATCAAACAAAAAAGGGAATTAAAAGGGACTAAAATATACGTAAACAACAATCTTATAAGGAATGAAAATTAGAGAAGGAGGCAGAAAATTAGATACAAAATGTATATAAGATATCAAAAAATATTTAGATACATGTAACAGTGGATGAAACGAAATAAAAAAAAAGAAAGGTTTACAGTACAAAGAGAAACAAATATAATGGAAAACCGTAATGTGGAGAAGATATAACAATCTGGAATGAAAACTTAAATTTAGATAGAATGAAAATAAAATGATAATTATGTAGCGTGATTGAAATGAGAAGTAGAACTCGAAGTACTCATTGTTAGGAAAAAAGTCTTAGTGAATATAGGACAAAATCTCAACGGTGTCTGACATATATGTATAGTTTTTATGTTAACATAGACTGTAAGGGAATTGAAGACATCTAATTGTCATAAATGTATATAAAACTAAAACCTAAAGTCTGGTCCATTCTTCGATTCCATTTAATAGCTCATACGGTATAGGAGAAAAAGAAATTTGAAATAAAGGTAGTTTCTTTTAATCAAATCTATCAGATAGTAAAAAATTTATCGATTGTTTAGAACAGTTTAAAAAGGTCATAAACAAGAACATTAATAATCTTTCCTAAAATTCGTTTTCCCACCTGAAATCTTAATCGATATTTTAAATAATTATACAACACGATCATTTCTTTTACTGCTAATTTCTGTTTTTCGACATTAAGCTGCATGATAACCAATTTATGAGTTCTTCTTTCATTTATTAAAGAAATGATACACCACACATAACAATAAAGATAATTTATAGTAGATATATGTTTTAAAATATATTATATTATTATAAAACATAGTTAAATCGCTGACATGAAGATTATTTATTTTATTACAATTTATTTTACAGTGTATTCATTCGTTACTCTTTTTTATTATACTTTTCTATCATTTCCCAATAAGAAATACTAGAAAAACGTTACACATCATGCAATGTATACACAGCACAAAGATTCATAAATTCTAATATAGAAGAGTTCAAAATAGCAATATGACGGTGAAATTATAAAGCACGGACACACTTTTCTTAATTGCAATATCACCCTCATGTTGCTAATTTATACTCTTCCACTTCATAATTTAAAACTTACCAATTACGATTTGAGGTAAGAAAATGAATTTTAGAAACATTTAATAATATTGTCGTTTACAATTTTTTTCAAATGATAGATGTAAATGCAGTAAACAATCGATACATTTTTTACCATTTGGTGGATCCAATTCAAAGAAGCACCTTCTGTCGCAAGACATTTTTTCTATCTGTTATAATTTACGAGTTATAAAATAAAAGTAAAACATGTCCCCTTCAAGTTTCTGTAAGAAAGAAATGGTGTAATACATATCTACATACCTACTTATATATGCTGTACATATCCTCAAATTTTCATAATTTTTTGAATTTCTGAGTTGACTATTTTGTCGTTTGACCTTATAACTCCTAACGTTTATTCCATATTTTTCATTAACCAAGATCCAATCTTAACCGAATTGTGTTGGCTTACAGAATCACAAGCGAATTTCTGACTACTATGGTACATGAGACATATGTTTAATCAGTAATGAAATAAAAATATATTGTGTTTTTTAGATTCCGACGAGGGTTTGCGCTTTTCTTTTCCTGGTGCCCGTGGATACGGACGCCCTTAGAGCCGGCGTTATCTCGATCAGAAGCGGTAACATCCCGATATAGTTGCACCGGAAGTCCACAGACAAACACCAGGATGTCTCGGAACGGTACGTCCTCCCGCACACCCTCGGAACGTCCTGGTACTACATCGTCTTCGACACCCACGACCGAATCATGCTTCGAACACAGCGATGCTCGAACGAACGAACGAAATTCGTACATAAATTTGAACGAGCTGTTTAACGATATTGCTGACGATGAAATAAATGTCGATGTAAAACCACAAGAGAAAGTAATGATATCGAGATAACCAAATTGAATTTGCTTATCATTTGAAAATTATTGCGACTATGCAAAGTACAATAGTTTCTAAGTAGACACTGATTTTAATGAAATAAGAGAAAACAAAAGAAACAATTGGAGAGATGCATGTTTCGTATTTTATTACACTTCTAATTATAGATCATTGGAAATATATTGAAATAATCGAATTTACATTAAGTAATAAAATCCTGGACAATTACATTTCTTTCAAATTTGAAAGTGTACAATTCAGGGTCTAAAATAGAGGTTTAAGAATATTCTTTAATGTAAATGTTTACCAATAAAGGTATATAACAATCCTTTTTCTTAGACAAAAGGGTGGTAAACCTACATACACATCATAAATAATATTAAAAGGAAAAATACAAGAAAATTGTTGCTATTAATATGCGAATTTTTACTTAGGCCAAAACTTGAAATATGATACAATAAAGAGAGAAAAGATAATGTAATATTAAGACACCTCGATTTTATACTATTTATACAAAAGGTGAGATTCTTTATGGTGTAATACACACATTTTAGGCCCTGGTAATATTTTCATGAAATAGTATAATGATTACGAATAACAGTTAGAAGTTATACATTTCAAAGACAAGATAATTCTCAGGATATAAAAATGAGATGGTGTAAATATTTGTTCATCAAATAATACACATTTAAATTTAGAAAACTCAAATCATCAAGTGCATTATACAGAGTATCCCCGTGATCGTAGTACAAGTTCTCGAGAGATGGTTCTACACGCAAACAAGTAAGTCGAAAACAATTAATAACATTTCTTCATTTACGACTTCGTTTCCGAGGAACATACGTTTGACGATCCGTTATAAACGTATGTATAACTGTGCACTGTTTGAAAGACGGCCGATATAAAGAATGCGGGTCTGAGTGGTCGGAATCGAAGGAGCCCTACCCGTTGGCTCACACATTTTGGGCTCTAGTCTACGATTGGTCGAAACGGCCACATACACTAATTCTGTCGCGTCACGCAACGCACACAGCGGAAGACCCCCCTTACCTCTATGCCGTCCCACAGGTCATCTTTCAAACAACGTACAGTACTTGTCGTCCGTTGCAGTGAATTTGGCACTCTTATCTGAGCAGTCAAATTCGAAGGCGTACACCGTGTTCACACGAATTTTCGGTTCTGGTTTATGATTCGCTGAGACGCTTACGCAGAAGAGCCGATCTCGGACTCACAAGTGGATTTCTAGGAGCGATTATTTCTGCTTCCATGACGTCACGAGTGCCAGGTTCGCTGCAACGAACGGTACTATCTGTAGGTTTTTGTATAAGTACATATTCAGCTTCTGTTTCTGCTCGAGTCTGTACTTATAAACATGAGCAGTGTCACTGCTTACTCCCTGTCACTCCGTGTATCTTATTTATTATATCGATTTCTACTTTTACTTCTTTCTTTATATTTAATTTAAATAGTGTTATTAATATAAATTAGATTATTATTTTTTAAGGGTTAATTTATTAATGCAGCAACTGTTCGAAATTATGTACTCGATATTTGTGTATCTAGACATCGTAACTAAATGAAAGAGATTACATAAAATACAGTCTAATATCTATGATATCAATATATATGACGGATCTTCAAACTCATTCTCACTCATTCTCGAAAACAAAACGTTAATAAAAACGTGTTATTCTTTCCATTCGATTGAATTTTATGTGTATAATTTCCTCAACCCAACCACTTGCATCACGGTCACGGAGTCACTTTGTATAGTATCACTTTACATTCAAGTGTTACAGAGTCAGTTCATAAAAAATGATATTTACATTCAATATTAACTGACTGCAAATTCAAGACCATATTTACCGAGAAGAAAATATAATGAGGTCACCAAATTTGGTTTACCTATACATAAAAATATGTTTCTCACAATCAGGCGTTACAGTATTCTCGCCATTAGTACCTGAAAATCGGGACTGCAACCGGGCACTAATCGTGCAATGATATTGATTCAAAGTCGAGATGAAATACGAGTCGAGCTCGTCTGTTTGTGTCTCTGTAGAAAAGGATGATACGAATGAAAGAACAAGAGATCTGAACTTCAGAACGATCAAACAAATAGATGAATGAGGGAACATAAGTGCAATGTTAAACTTTTCTATTTTTCACTTTTATTGACTGAAACTTTGCACTCGGAAGACGACTCTCAGTCACCACTTGATTTGACGCGGTAAAACTATAAAATCTGATATTTAATGTTGAGTTTATATAATGCCTTGATACGTGAAATATTGGAATAAAATAACTTTGTTCCTCAATGTACTTGTGATTTCTCTTCGAGTTAGTTTCAAGGAATATCGTCTTCGCCTCGTCAAAAAATGTTAAACATTTCTAGTGAGAAACTTCCGAGTGCGTTAATAAGTTACAATAATTGATTTTCTTATAAATTGTTGTTTAAAATATGTCATGTTTGGTTTTGTTTTAATCAGAAGAATCTTATTTCAAAATCTTCATAAAAGCTATGAGACGATGTATCATCACGAACATCGTTACATGTTTCAACATCTGTAGGAGGCTTTAAATAAAACTTCTCTCAGCTTTCTGCTCTCTCAATTTGGTTGTTCATATATTCCGGTTCGCTTTAACGTATAGTGTTCTTCAAGCAATGACATGCTTTAACGCAGCTGTTAGCCTCTCATTTCTATCCCTGCTGTCTCATGCCGTTATCTGCCATTAGACAGGCCCTTGAAAAGCAGAAATAACGATGAGCGAGAGAGATACGACCTACGAAAACGAGTCGCCTTGTTTGCGACTATTCATACGGACGTCACTGTGTTTCGAGTAATACAAAAAAATAAAGAAAACTGAAGACCATGAATATATTCACTTATCTTAAAACACTCTCAGAAGATCATAGATTTTAATATTATCCATTATTTTTATAGATTTTATCAATTTACGACAAAAAATAATGCTAAACATTCTAAAAGACAGTAATTGATAAAAAGCTTTTTATTCAACGAAAACCAAAATTATTACAATTTTGTCATATAGAAATCGATGCAGCTTTGTATTACTCATAAAAAGTATTAGGGCACTCAGATCGAAAATTAATTAATTTAAAAATTTTGTTTTCTTTCCAGCACACCCATATTCTCGAAACTAAAAATCCCTGATGCTTAACCCTTTGAAATCAACAATACTGATCGATGACATTTTTTGCTACTAATACGAAGAAAACTATTCCACAAATTAAATTACATTATATAAAATTTAATATTGACTTTTAAATTTCATAATTCTGCTGGATTTAATCAAATGGCGACTAAGAGTCCCCTCTGCAGTACAAAAGATTAACCTGTCTTTGTGTATCATCTGCATGCTCATACTTTCTACATCCCATGTTTATCAAGTTCTCGCAAAGAACGAATGTCAGGTTTCGTTGATCTTGATTTGCGAGCTACGCACGTACAGGAAGAAGCATGGCAATAAATTGGGGCAAATTATACCAAATTATCCATCCTGCCAGTCGAATTGGCGATAATTTAAATAATATCGAGTCAAAATGCATGAAATGTATAATTATATACAGTAGGTTTAGGTCACAACGGTGATAGTACGTGTTTAACCTTGTATTAACCTTGAAGCATCGTATAAAGATCACGTTTGAAATTTTTAATGGTTCGACAATAGTTGGATCATGTTACACCACTTAATCGCGACCGATCGTTGACTGCTATGGTGTGTTAAAAGGAATCTGGTGGGGATGTGGTGGAAATAACGAGGTTGCAATTATCCAATGTTCACTGTAGTTCATCTTGCTGCATATAATAAGTTAGGATCTACGAAATCTATAACGAAACCTTTTTGTCTCAATTTTCTTACCGCGCACATTCAGCAACGCTAACTGAGATCCTTATGTCTCAGTAATGATTTATGCAAATATAAAAAGTTTACAGTGTTTTAGAAACGTGTGAAAATCAGATCCCATTAAGAAAATTTTAACATAACCTACACAGAACACTTCAATATTAATACAAAGACAATGACGAACCATTCATGTCTCTGCTCCTTTATATCCTATAACTTTCATCTGAAACATTTTATCGTGTCATTTATAATTTTCGAGAAATTTTGGTGTTCTCAGGTATATAGAGCGTACTGGGTAACATATTCTATTAAACAAAATGATAATAATATTAAATGGTATTAAACATATACACTATCGATCAAAAGATTGGGGCCAATATCGGACCAACATTGGGACCATCGGTTAAAAAAAACTTACATTTTTGTAAAAACTTTTATTGGAGAATTTTTATGTATGATAAAGGAACATGGATATATGTGTATTAGTTAAATATAAAGACATATCATTTTTAATTCATAACGTTACATATCTAGGTGGTTCCACACTTTTGACCGGCAGTATAGGTATTAAAAAGTCTCGGAATCCGTTTGATGCTACTGTAAGTATAGTAAAAATTGGATAAATTTTATATCCGAAGGGATTCTCTTTATTCAATTACCGTAAGTAGACGCTAGTCAACTCCACCACATGAAAGGCTGCTTTTTACAGGCCGTGAAGTTCGACTCCCGGAAAGTGTAATTTGATTTAAAGTCTGGTATCCATCAGCAGAATATTAATTCGATGAAGAAACTTTTCGTTTTTAACAATTTAGTAATTAAATTAAATTTTTTTATTATAATAAAACCAAACACGATATTTATTTCTTTTATAAGAGAAGGCAAATATGTTTTTTATTATTTTCAGTATGTAGAAAGAAAATTTATAATGAGAGATGTACTAAT